GTGGGGCACTGAAGCCCCTTTTTAACAGCTGATGTGGGGGGGGACACAACAGTCAGTGACAACCTTGCAATGACCATTTTAACGTGGGTAAAATAATATTCCATGTCACTTTATAACATTTGTTGCAGACTAACCTTTTTTTCTGGGTACTTTTTTTTTTGCCACGCTGCGTGGCTTGTGGGAACTTAGTTCCCCAGCCAGGGATTGAACCGGGGCCCTTGGCAGTGAAAGCAGCGAGACCTAACCACTGGACCGCCAGGGAAGTCCCTCTGGGTACTTTTGACTCATCAGCAAGATTTCGATAGGTTGTTAAGCTTTATTATTTTTGGCCAATGACAGGACAACGGAGTGAGCCTTTGGTAATCACACTTCTTACTTCTAGAGGAAGCAGAAAAACCACAGCCACTCTGCGCCACCCTCCTCCTTCAGCGATTCGTGTGGCAGGTGGGTGACAGTCACAAAAGATAAACACCCAGAATTCCCTTATCGACAAAGCAGGACTGCAGAGGACACATTTACACGGGCCCGGGGTTTAAAATCAAGAATCCTGAGTGAGAAGGCTGCCATCAGTTTGATGACTTTCGGCCATTTACACAAAGTCTCTTTACCAGACAAATCAAGAAAATAAAAAACTGATTTTAGAGAAGGTATTGTAAACAAAGATCCACAGGGTCAGAGAGACATTCATCTAAAGGCCTTTTATAATCACACATCCAGAGACGAGGATAGGATGGATGGTGGAGGTAATAATACTGGATGGTGTTTTTTCAAACATTTAACATGTGCCCTGTACTGTACTAAACAGATACTCATTTAATCGTCAGAATAATTCCAGGGGCTGGGTACTACTATTAGCCCCATTCTACAGATGAGGAAACTGAGGCTTAGAGAGGTTCAGAAACTTGACCAAGTCTCACAGCTGGCGAGTGGTTATAGTCAGGAGTCAAACCCAGAGCCACCTGACCCAGGAGCCTGTGCTCCCAGCCGCTACCCAGTGCTGCTTCCCTAGTAGGAAGGCTTGGATCTGCAGCCATCAGAGAGAGGCTCCTGAGTGCTTACAGGAAATGTGAGACATATGGCTCATGATGGCATTTTTTTTTTTTTTTTTTTTTTGCGGTACGCGGGCCTCTCACCGTTGTGGCCTCTCCTGTTGCGGAGCACAGGCTCCGGACGCGCAGGCTCAGCGGCCACGGCTCACGGGCCCAGCCGCTCCACGGCACGTGGGATCTTCCCGGACCGGGGCACGAACCCGTGTCCCCTACATCGGCAGGCAGACTCTCAACCACTGCGCCACCAGGGAAGCCCCCATGATGGCATTTTGGTGAGTTTCATATGAATATGATCCTTAGACACTGCAGGTAGCAACTGAGTCTGTGCGGCACTGTGGAGGAGGGCCTCTTACCGGCTGGACTACCAGGTAAGGGGCAAAGTGGAAAATGCAGACTCCCAGGCCCCATACACTGAGATTCTGATTGGCTAGATCTGGGATGGGGCCCAGGAATCTGATTTTTTAATAAATGCTCCAGGTAATTCTGTTGCAGGTTGCCAGTTTGGGAAACAATGTTCTAAGGAACATGCTTTAGAAACACAGCTCTAGGGAACACTTTTATGTGGGTTGCACAAACTTCACGGGTAGTTGCTTCTGTTTCTGACCATATACTTTTACAAAATGAACACTGGTCAAAAGACCTTTTGAGGAGCTTAAAGAATCCCTGACTTTTTTTTTTTTTGGCTGCGTTGCGTCTTTGCTGCTGCATGCAGGCTTTCTCTAGTTGCAGCGAGCGGGGGTTACTCTTCGTTGTGGTGCGCGGGCTTCTCATTGCTGTGGCTTCTCTTGTTGCAGAGCACGGGCTCTAGAGCGCGTGGCCTTCAGCAGTTGTGGTACGGGGGCTCAGCAGTTTTGGCTTGTGGGCTGTAGAGCACAGGCTCAGTAGTTGTGGTGCACGGGCTTAGTTGTTCTGTGGCATGTGGGATCTTCCCGGACCAGAGCTCGAACCCGTGTTCCCTGCACTGGCAGGTGGCTTCTTAACCACTGCGCCACCAGGGAAGTCCCCCTGATGTTTTTAAGGTACTCATTCAAGACTCAGCTGGGTTTATGGGCTCTGAAAACTCATTTCTCCAGATGCTACTTGGAGAATAAAAGTCACCTTCCAGTCATACTTGGAGCACCCAAAAAAAGGTGATTCTGGGTAGGCCACTGAAGCCAAGGGAAATGACTGGGACCACAGCTCACATCACTAAAATGTGCTCGGACACCTAATGTGAACATTGAGTCTTAGCTGGGTTTCAGGAGTTATGTATGTTTGATGGTGAGCTGCAAAATGCTACATTTCTGGAAGACTATTTGGCAATGGGCCTTAAAGTTCATATTCTCTGACCCAGTAATTCTATTTCTAGGACTCTGACCCAGGAAAATAATCAGAGAAGTATGCAAAAACCATACACAGAGATGTGCATCACAGCCATGTCTCTGACAGCCAAAATACTTCAGACAACCTATGTGTCTGTCAACTGGGGAATGGATCAACTGAGTATACAGCCTTTCGAAAGCATGTTGTCTATAGCAAACCAAAAAGCTTCTGCACAGGGCTTCCCTGGTGGCGCAGTGGTTGAGAGTCCGCCTGCCGATGCAGGGGACGCAGGTTCGTGTCCCGGTCCGGGAGGATCCCACATGCCGTGGAGCGGCTGGGCCAGTGGGCCATGGCCGCTGAGCCTGTGCATCCGGAGTCTGTGCTCCGCAACGGGAGAGGCCGCAGCAGTGAGAGGCCTGCGTACCAAAAAAAAAAAAAAAAAAAAAAAAAGCTTCTGCACAGCAAAAGAAACGATCGACAAAATGAAAAAGCAACCTACAGAATGGGAGGAAATATTTGCAAACCACATATCTGATAAGGGGTTGATATCTAAAATATATAAGGGACTCACAACTAATAGCAAAAAGCCAAATAACCCACTTAAAAAATGGGCAGAAGACCTGAATAGACATTTTTCTAAAGAAGATATTCAAATGATCAATAAGTACATGAAAAGGTGCTCACATCACTAACCATAAGGGAAATGCAAATCAAAACCACAATGAGCTATCACCTCACACCTGTCAGAATGGCTTTTATCAAGAAAACAAGAGGGCTTCCCTGGTGGCACAGCGGTTGAGAGTCTGCCTGCCGATGCAGGGGACACGGGTTCGTGCCCCGGTCCGGGAAGATCCCACATGCCGCGGAGCGGCTGGGCCCGTGAGCCATGGACGCTGAGCCTGCGCATCTGGAGCCTGTGCTCCGCAACGGGAGAGGCCACAACAGTGAGAGGCCCGCGTACCGCAAAAAAAAACAAAAACAAACAAACTCAAAGAAACAGAAACAGATTGGTGGTTGCCAGGGGCAGGGGGTGGGGAGTGGGAGAAATGGGTGAAAAGTGGTCAAAGGGTACAAACTCCCAATTATAAGATACACATATCCTGGGGATGTAAGGTACAGCATGGGGGCTCTAGTTAACAATACAGTACAGTATATTTGCAAGTTGCAAACATAGTAGATTTTTAAAGTTCTCATCACACACAAAAAATTGTAACTATGCAAGGGGATGGATGTGTTAACTAACCACACCGTGGTAATAATTTTTTAATCTATATGTATATAAAATCACTATATTGAATATCTTAAATGCACACAATGTTATATGTCAATTATATCTTAATAAAGCCCGGGGTAAAAAGCATATTATCGAGGAATTTTCACCACATGCTCACAAAACAACAGTTACTGAGAATGTTGCTATACACGTATACATATACATAAAAACGTACTCTGCAAAATGTTGACATATATACCTATATACACCATATAATGACAATTCTTTGTTTATCTATATCTAAACATAAAACAATAGAAGGAAGTCCACCAAAATGTTAATAATGATTACCTCTGAGTCATTTCTATTTTCTTCTTTACAGGTCTATTTTCTAAATCAGACAAAGTTTTAAAATTAAGCTATATCCTTTATAAATCAAGTTTTCAGAGAATTGTTAATGAAATGGGAAATGCATATTACATAATATCAAGGGAAAATATAGGATAAAAATATATATTCAATATGAAACCAATTAGTTTTTATAATATTTATTATTTGAGTGATTTAGATATAATATATATATATATATATTTATCTATATACACATTATATATAAATCAATCCAGGAAGATACCAATAACTGTTGTCTCTGTGTACTGGGATTATAGGTAATTATTTTCTTCATTCCACTTGTGTATCTTTTCCAAACTTTCTACAATGAGAATGTGTTAGCATTTCCAGTAAGAGAACCCAATCAGTTGCATTTTAAGCCACAGTTTCCACGAGGACCATTTCCTCTGGTCCCTGTTGGGAGCCCCTTACAGCTGGGGTGTGCTACGAGGCTCTGAGGAGCAGCTGCATCCCCTGAGCTCCATCTGCAGCCCGGGATGAGCACCCACCTCGCAGGAGCAGCCCATTCACACAGGCCAGGTGAATGGCAACTACAGGGAAAGGATCACAACAGCAAACATTTACTGAGCTCTTCCTACGTAGCCTACTCTGTGCCAAGTGCTGTGCGGGCATCAACTCTTTGAACTGGATGAGGCTGGTCCTCATGCAGTTAGGGGCCTTCTGTCTAATTCCAAAGCCCATGGAATCAAACTCTGGTAAGGAATCAAACTCTGGTAAGGAATCCGCCTTACAAGAATATCTTTATGGCAAGTCTGTTTCCAAGCAGTGCATCTGCTATGCCCAGGACCTCCTTTCTGATCCATTTATGTAAGAATAGTGTTAAATTTTTACTTTGACCTATAATGATTGCTCCCCGAGGTCGTTTTTATAAATAACACATCGCACGGCTGTTCTTGTTTTCATTCTACCTACCTTCTCTTCCGATGGGTAAAAGCCAATTGCTCTCATGACAAAAGGAAGCTCCGACAGGCAGATGTGTTCCGACACCTTTCTGGTCTCCATTGTATCAATACCTTGACTACGGAGCTGAGAATAGTAAAAATAGTCTTCCAGCTCCTATGTGGAAATGAAGCGGAAACACAACATGCATTTTTGGCTTAAGTCTGAAGCAGCCATTTAGACTTCAAGGACATTTTCTAGAAAGTACATTTTAAGCTCAGTGGGGAAAACAGCTTTGGCAAAAAGCAAGAAGGTTAACCCCGGGCACATCTGTTTTACAGACTTAACTAGATGCTACCAGGAAGTGTTTACTCTGAGGATAGTAGTTACCCTGTAGAATTTTCCTTCCCTGCCACCAGACACCAGACCATAGAATGGGGTCAGGTCTTCGCCCCCAAGAGAAACTGCTGCCTCCAGGGCACTAGAACAACGAGAGAAACATCATTATTAGCCAGCAGTCAGTCAGGAACACAATGCACCGCAAGGCTGCCCAGCTGCGGACCTCCGGAGGGTATTACAGCGAGGATACGACTAGGGTCTCTGTAAACTCGTTAAGTAAATTCCCTCCAAAATGAAGCTGCAAATGGAAAATTCAGTTTCAAGTGTGGCACCCGCCTTAATGACGATGATATTCTCTCGTGGATGACAGGGCAGACGCCTGGCAATTTGTCTGCAATCTCTGGGGGGAGGGAGGGAGGGAAGGTGGTGAGTCCACAGTCTTCCCAGTGGCCCTCCTGTAACTTTAGATCTGCACGTGACCAGAGCCAGAAGAATGGGACGTGGCACAGGTGGGTGGCCGTCGCTAATTGCTTCCATAAAGACTCTGGAGGCCGCAAGGGACCCACGCCAGTCAGATAAAAATAGCCCTCTGCTCTCTAACACAGGGTCAGATTTTTCCAAAAATAGGACCTTTAAGTGGTAAGAAAACCTACTTTTTGTATGAGGCTGACTTTACCTCATACAAAATGCTAATAATAATATGAAATCACCTTAATAATCCACTAACTGGATTTTTGCTAATCAGACCATTAGCCGCTTTGTAGGGTTATTAAGACAGACTTTGTGCAGACCATGGCGGGGAAGTGGTTATGTATACAGAAGCTGGAGTCAAAGGGACATGCCTGTGAGCCCTGGCTCTGCCACTTGCAAGCAGTGTGATCACGGGCAAGTGACTTAACCACTCAGGGCCTCAGCTTCCTATTCTGTAAAATGGAAATAATTACAGGGTCTGCCTCAGGGGATTGTTGTGAGAATTAAAGTGAGTGCACAGAGAGGATTCCACATGAAGCCCTTTATTTTTCTCCTGTGATGAATCTTTGTTGAGGTGTGGGGTTGATGCGAATCCCAGCCCCAGCACACTACTCCATTGCTTGGGCAGATCACTGAACCCCTTGAGCTAGTTCCCAGATCTGTACAACAGGGATACCAACAGTGCCTACGTCACAGGATAGCTGTGGGGACACGTCAGACAATACATGGAAAGCCCAGGGCCTGGCTCAGGACTATGATTACTGTTGAACTGGGTGTTGAGGCGCACCTACAGCTCTCCTGCAAGAGTCAGCCACAGAACAGTCCTCGGTCCTCTTGTCACAGCCCCGCACAAGCCCCACCCAAGCAGGCTGCGTGAGGTCCATGGAGCTGGTGTACTCTCCAGGTGGGCCTGGGGTCCAGGCGGGCCTGAGGACCGTCTCCAGTAGGGCTCAGTCTTCACCTGGCTCTTGGCTCTGATATTACCCATCGAGGCAGGTGTCCAGCTGAGAGGGCTCCCGCTCTGTGGCCTCCAGGCCAGGCCCAGGCCCAATCCCAACAGGCTCTGAGGGCAGTGAGGCCACTATTGGCCATTTGATTCTGAAGCAGGGCCAGGTAAAGGCCCAAGTGACATGGAGGAGCCTGTCACCACCTGAAGGCCCCAGGGGACAGGCTCACAGAGCTCTGGATTCTCTGGGAACGGCCCTCCAGCAGTCAGGACTACACCGTGTCCCCTGCTTCCCGGCCACTGTCAGCTCAGCTGACCTGAGAGCCAGAGGGACAGGGCTGGGCTTGTCCCACCAGAGCTGGGGCAAGAGACTCCCTCTCTCTGGTGTGAAATCTGGGGACTGTCAGTGGCCGAGTCCCCACTGAGTGACGAAATCCAGCTCTGCAGAGAGACAGCAACAGCAGAGGCGAGCTGAGAGCAAACGCTGAGGGTGGGCTGGGCTGCTCTCCCCGCAGTGCGGTGACCCGAGACTCCAGGACCCGCTCGTAACCTCCCCTTTCTGCCTAAGTTGGGTTCTAATGCTTGCCACAAAAAAAGAGGCCATTGGGGCACAAGATGGAGGTACATTTATTGAAAACCTACTGTGTGTGTGCCCAGAAATATACTCAGTGCTGTGGGGAATGAGCTAAAGCCCAAGAAACAGTGAGCACAGCAACCAGCATATAGCAAGAGCCCAGTAAACGCTCCCTAGGGGGGGAGGGGGAGGGGGAGGAGGGAAAGCAGGGGGAGGAGAAAGGGCACCTAACCCCAAGATCTGGCCCTTCACTTCCCCGTGAGCTCAAACCAACAGATGGTCCTTACTTGCCAAATGTGTTAGAGTTGCACCTCCTACTCCTGGGCCTTACACACCATCTGTCGGGGCTTCAGACCAGGGTAATGAGCAGAACTGAAAGTCTTCCGGATTCACGACAAAAAAATTTATAAATAGACTTTACTGTTTAAGAATACATCAGTTTTATGTTTTTCACAGTTGTTACTGTAAATACCTTGTGCCTGTTCATGGATTATTTTATTCTAAAATATTTTGTCAAATGTGTATCAACCAAATTAAAAACAAAGGCTTTCATGTTAGCAACAATAACAACAACAAAAGCGGGGGGGGGGGGG